CTGACCATGTGCTTATACCTTCACTATCATTCGAGGTGGACATGAAACAGCAGCCCATTGCCAATACTGTCACTGCTGGAGAGACAACATCAAGAAATTCGAAGTCTTTGAGAGGATGGGCATCTCTGAAGATCTTAGTAAGCCCTTACTCCATGTGCATAAACCCACTTTCTCTAGTGTTTCCTGGCAACCATAATGATAAAGAAAGAGGGGTGACTAATGAAGAAAATTCACAGAGAATCCTGAATAAGCTTGTGAGCACCGTGAGAAAGAAGATTTCTAGGGCAGGACGTGCTGCAGAGATTCTGCTGGTTCTGCAATACTTACTGAAGCTCTCGCTGCCCCCTGCAACATGCGGTGAGGGGGGGCCTCTCCTTGTGCTGAAGGTGTTGTCCAGGGAGGATGAAGAAAGAAAGGCCGGTGTCTGACCTGAAGAGGCTTGGTTCTAAAGATCAGCTGCAGTCCAGACACCTTGCTGGTAAGTATTTCTGGAGAAAACTTTTGCACTTATTGAATATTAACGCCTTAAGCCATGGCAAAGCGAATGTTTTCCTGAGGTGAGAAAATGTCTCTTACAAGATGAGCGGTGTTTAAAAACCTCTAGGGGATGGCATGGTAAGCAAAAAATAAGGAAGAAAAGTTAAAAGTGTCTGGAAGGGAAAAAAAGGGGGAGAAATAATATGCTCAAAACTCAGGGTTTCACTCCTGAAAACTAACAAATAAGGGTCAATGAAAAGAAATAACTAACTAGGAGAATATGGTAGAAATAGGAAGCGGTACAAAGAAAAGGCAGAAAGAGGGGAAAGGTTACTGAAGGTTCAATGTTAACTGAATTTTTTTCTCATTAACATAAAAGGCACTCCAGATTAGCAGTTATGCAGCATTCTCTTTCTTTATACCGAGGTAGAAGAAAAAAGGGGAAACAACGGTTCTGGTCTGAATGCCTGCAATATAAATATTAATTGAAGGAATATATCCAAAAGGAGAAATGTTGTCCTCCCCAGATGGAGGTGTCAGAGATGGGGGCCCAAGAATAAATCTCATCAGTTAGGTTTCTGATGTGGTACTGAGATCCTGTGTATAGGGAACAGCTGAATAAAAGGAAAATCAAGATTGGTCAATAGCTGTGAACAAAACAAGGAGGTTACATGCACAGAAGAGAACTATTTATCCATCTTCTAACAATGGCACAGCTGAAAACTGGTATCAGTTCTGTTTCAAGTATGCTCAAATACTACAGCTTGACATAGATTCATAGAATAATAGAATGTCTTAGGTTGTAAGGGACCTTAGAGATCATCTAATCCAACCTCCCTGCCATGGGCAGGGGTGCCCTTAACTAGACCAGGTTGCTCAAGGCCTCATCCAACCTGGCCTTGAACATCTCCAGGGAGGGGGCATCCACAGCCTCTCTGGGCAATCTATTCCAGAGTCTTGCTACCCCCATACTGAAGAATTTCTTCCCAAGATCTAACCTAAACCTATTCTCCTTCAGTTTAAATCCATTTCCCCTTGTCCTATCACTGGACATTCTTGTAGAAAGTCCCTCTCCAGCCTTCCTGTAGGTTCCCTTCAGGTATTGGAAGGCAATTACAAGGTTCCCCTGGAGTCTTCTCCAGGCTTGAACAACCCCGGCTCCCTAAGCCTATCCTCGTAGCAGACCAACATACACCAGCTCATACATATCCTAACATACCTGCAGTATTGCTGAAAAAATTACGAAAGTAGTTCTCCAAAGCAGATACAGGAGGAAAGCAAGAAATACAGGGACGAATGGCTAGGAAACTAAAACAGCTGTTGCTGTTGTCCAGAGAGTTTCTGTTGCCACAGTGCCAAGAAAAGCTGTCAGAAGACAGATCCTTTTATGAAGTTAGAGAAGACTGGGAATAGACAGGGGGAAAAAAAAATTACTTACTGGCAATTTCGTATGTTGTATCAAGACAGACTGATGTGTTTTCATGCTCCAGGGAGAAAGCCAAGAACTATCACTCAAAGCAGAAATAAATATTTCGTCCTTTCATCTCTACTTCTTTTAAAGGTCATAAAATTTCTCAGATTGAACTACGAAAGGATTGAGAATTTGTATGGAGACACACAGCAACTATCACTGACATACAATGTAAAGCTTTTTTCACTTTATATTAGAACACAGGAAAACAGAATTCCTGTCATTTAATAGATATTGTTTCTGCAGGCATGTTCTACTTACATATAGCACCCAAGATCATAGAAACACAGTACTGTTCAGGTCGAAAAGACCTCCAGAAGTCATCTAGCCCAACACTCTGCTCAAAGATACCATTAGATCCAGATGCCTGAATAATCCAGTCAAGTTATTAGTATCTCCAAGAATGGAGATCTAATGATATACATGACAAAAGTCTAAACATAGCTTTTCTAAAAAATGTTTTTCAGTGTCATTTACAGTACTGGAGGCTCTAATTCCATCACAGTACTCTTTGTCCATATCGTATCACAAGAAAGTTTAAGAGTGGTTGATCTTGAGAGCCACAATGGCAGAAGATTAATCCTCTGTTTGAGGGCTGGTAATTGAAAAATCTTAGAAGCAGAAATGACCAAGTGCTAATCAGGTCAAAGATCATTCATTTAAACCTGCATAGCCTTACCAGCAAAAGCAGCTTCAGTTTAAAGGAAATGAAACTCGACCAGAATATTCAGTCTCTGCTCTCAGACAGAAGTATCATTTAATCTATAACTAAAGGGTTGATTCTTAAACAAACACATTATCCACAGAAAACAAAAAGGGAAGGACTGCAGAAAAGCTGGTTGCCAGAGGACTGCTGCAAAAGCGTGACTGCTGGCTGTGACTCACAGGCAGCTACTAAAATTTATCTGCATGTCAGCAGGTCTCACTTTACACGGGTAACAGTGACACACCAAGGGAAGACTGGTTATTTGGGTTTCAGCACACGAGAGACAAAATTCCTATGCCAGAACTCTCAAATCTTTTCTCATTTGTATTGCTACTAGTACAAATAGGCAGAAAAGCTGAAAAGAGTTCTGGAACAAAAACCACTTTCAACACAATCTCCATTTTTATAGAGGCATCAGCCAACATTGCTGAGAAATAAAGATTATTTTGCAAAACATGTTCTATTTAGTTGTAGGATAAATATTTTTTTTGTTGAAAGCATACACAGTATAAACCAAGAAGTTACATCAATCAGTATAAACACAGCCCACAGAAAACCTACAAACACCATGATGCTATTTGGAGAGAAGAACAGAAGACTGAAGTAACAGGTCCTTGCTCATCAGTTTAACCTACAAAAAGTTCTGAACAACCTATTCTGGGATTGCTGTTGCAGAGTCAACTAGTGCGTTTTCCCTCCTCTTTTACCTTCCTTGTCATTTCCAACATTGTATAACTTTTTTGACCACTAGTGAGTCACAAGATTATGACAGAAACTCCTCTCGGGTGAAAACAGCTAGTTAGGGCTCACCCCTAAGAGTTTACATAATTAGTCACATTCCCTTGAAAGTATCTCTCTTAGATGAGCTTAGGCAAGTCATGTAACAAACGTGGGAGCATTCAGTGGATATTCTTCAACGCTTTTTTTCTCCCTTAAATGAGTTCTTTCTGTTTTAGTATTGCTTCATCTTGCTCTCCTCCAGAGCAGCTGTACACACAATGTCAGGCAAAAGCTATGTAAACCAAGAAAACATAGCAAAGGCAGCCAAATCTCAGTGACTACTGAGATCATGATGCTGAGTTACAAGTTGGCATTCTTTAAAATCGAAAAATCAAAGGTTTTTTTTAAGGTGAAACGTAACTTCCAACTGAAAATATCACATGTAAATTTGGCGTGCCACCTACTAAAGGAAATTCCCTTAGATGGACTACAATAGTCCAGTAAGAATTTTTAAAACAAGCAAACTAAAATAAATGAATACAGTATTAGTAAGAGTGAGAGGGGAGGCTAATACACAAGTAGCTAGTCCGGATTTTTGGCAGAATGAAGCAAGACCACAGGTGGTGATCATATACTGCATCCTAATGTGATATACTCTTGGTTCACTGAAAAGAATTTAAATAGTTATTTTCCTTCCCCTTGCAGCAGCTATACTAATAATCATTTTTATATGCTGTAAGCATTCCAGTCTTGATTGTATAATTCAGTGTCCTCAATTAGAGTCTTCAACCTAATAGCACCGTAACAGCTTTGAAATGCTGCCAAAACAGAGTCACCATACAGTATACCATCAAATCAATAACTGAATCAATTTAATTAACAAATTAGGCTATATCACCTATGATCCTAAGATACTGATGGAGCTTTTCACACTGTAGATGCATATATATGCACAGTTTAATACTTAATGTGTTGGCAGTCTTACTAATGTCCTGGCTGTTAAAAAGTGCCTGTAGTATTGGAAATTCAAAAGGCTATCATGGTGATTTATCTGACAACTTTTTTACTGTAACTCAAAGAAAAAACAACCCAGAAGTTAGCCTCTTCAGAAAAGCTTCAGAGTTCCAGAGCTTGGGAAGCATTCACTCCTCTCAAGCGCACTGAGAGAAAAACTGTTGACAAAAGGGTGAAGAAAAATCTCTAGCTGTTCGAATTACTATGCAATAACCACATTTCTGGGTTTATGATTTTAAAAGGCAACCACTTTGTTTTTCTTCTGAATGACCACAGGTTTAAGTTAAGAAGATTAAGTAACCAGTGATGTATTTCTCATTATTCCACACTCCCTGCTCAAGAATTGCTCCTTAACTAGTAGATATCTTTTTCTCCCATGTTCTACTGGTAATGGAAATACACGGCTGAACAGTTTTAAGAAGTGCTGCTGGAAAAGTTCCTAGCACTCTTTCACAGAAATCTATGCTAGTCAGTAACCACAAATGGAGTACCTTCAAGGCTCAGCCACAATTTTCCACTGACAATTTGAAAAGGTGTTGCTATTTCTACCACAAAAACTGTGATCATAAAATGTATTACTTCCAAATGCAGCTATTGGGACAATGTACTTACTTAGGCTACTCAGTTGTCTGATTATATTTGCCAAGGAGATATTGGTGACACATTCCAATTCATTCTTGATACCTCGGGGTAGAGCTGTGTGACACAGGTGCCTGGGGTCTATGTTCCTTTTTACCAGCGGCATTCTGAAAGGTATTAGAGGACCAGCAAACCTGTGAAGACATGACACAAAATACTATTGTAAGTTTAATTATATTTTAAATTTAGATTATGTCTAAAGTTATATTGACTAATCTTAACAAGATAAAAATACCTCCACAGTACTGGTGGAACTCATTGCTCTGTAAATATATAAATCTTTTCTTCTTTGCCCAAGGAAAGACTACTTCATTCTCTCTCTTTAAACCTTTACCTGATTCAGATGCCAGTGAAGTGGCAAATAATTTTTTACAGATCACACTTCTTTCTTTTTCCCTCTGAAAAATAAAGACATGAAAATCTTTGCAGTACAAAACCAGTAAAGAATGATTTCTCTCTCAATGGACTACTTTCTTATTCAGGCCAGACAAAGTCCAACAACAAATTCCCTTTATTATGAGGTCAAAGTCAAATTAGTTGCCTATTCCACCTAAAGGTAGATATGATCCATTCATTACAGAATGTCATGTTACTAGCAGGAGTCACCCTTCTGGTCTAAACATCATATCTGAACCATACCTACTCAAGGTAAGAAAAAAGATGCTTCCTTGCCACTTACAATGCTACTGGCATTAAACTCGGCTAAGAACACACCTTCCAAATACAAGTCTCCTCAGTAAAGTTGTAGCACAAAGTCCTCTATGACTCAGAAATCCTACTGCTCTACACCTTTCTCCACATATGTTCAATTAAAGAAGAGTCTTTACTAGTGCTGCAGACAGAGTAAAAATAATCTCAGGTTGTGAATCCCTGGCTTTTAATTTTCTGCACCCACAGCACTGATTGGAAGGAGTTTCCCAGGGGGCAAGTTAACGCCTCTCATTTTATTAGCGCTGCTTATTAAGATCTGTCTACTAAAACTTTTCCTCATGAAAAATGGATCCCCTAAAACTCTGTAATCCTTCCATCATCTGTCATGTAAAACTCCGACCAATACAAAACTCCCATTTGATATGCAGAAAACGGATACACTTAGCAGCAGTTTAACTTAGTCTCTTCCCACTGCAGAAGAGATTACACCTTCTCCAGACAGCAAGGCAGACAAGTTTGCCACAACACAACCTGCAGACCTAATCCCTCAACCAGACAGCCTGCCACAGCTTCACCTGTCCTTTGCTCACAAGCTTAATCCCAAAAGGTTGCCAGGATGCCACTGTGGCTCCACATCGCACCACAGAATACTTCCCTGCAGTATATAGTTAGCCACTGATCCTTGATCAAAATGGAGAGATTTTTTGGATAAGAATAACGTAAGGCCATGGTGGTAGAGTTGAAATTTCATTGACCTAGCATGGCACAAGGAATTAAAAGAATTGTAGATGACTGTAATGGAGTATTTTGCTCTCCGCAGATGGCTTAGATTTCTCCTTGTCGCTTTTCCTGGGAGTATATTCTTTCACTGAAGCCAAGGCTCATAGGTGAGGAACACAGACAGGATCCTTACGTCTACCTGAGAAACACCTCTGAGTTTCCAGGATCTGGTTAGACTTCATTTGTTGCATTTTAACCTACGTCTACTGTGCTTACTTTCTTGAAAGAGCAAAAATATTTTATGAAAATAATTGTTCTAATAATTGGCTTAAGGGAAAGATTATACAGTTCTTAAAAATTTAGTTTCTCAGTACTGACAGTGAAAGTTATAGAAGTGTTCTTGGGACAGGGGTAAGTCATAAGAACAGATTTATTTTTATTTTCTAGAAATATCTCAAAAATTTCTAGTTACTAAATACCTAAGAGCTAAAAAGGAGCTGCTACACAGAAGCTAAATGAAATAAAAAGTGCGTATTTGAACACTGTCTCAGATAGAAGCAATGACAAAGTGTTTATAATTAAAAGTAACACTTTATACCTGTTGGTACAAGACTAAAGTGTAGCATGAAGCAAAGGAGGTGAAACGGGCCCCACCAGCAGAGCTTCTGCTGCCAAAGGAGCATGCAAGCCCTCTCCTCCCAGTGACAAGACCCTGAAGAAATCCTTAACTACAGGTTTGTTACGGCAGTTCCCCAACATAAAAAAAAAAGGAACCATTCTGTCACTGTCACAGACACACTACAAATGGCGTATGAGCAATGTTCTGCAGAAGCAATTAAATATTAATTCTAGAGTTGAGCCCTTTCTTGATTACTGCTTTAATGATACTGTTGTATAAACAGCACAGTAGGCAAGTCTTTTTAAAAGAGGTCCAAAGAAGTACATAAAGAAACATTTTCACTGAAAAAGTAAATAAAAGAAACTGAAATAGTCCTTATTTCTATCTACCTAATATAGATCTGGCTTATACAGATAAACCAAAATTGCAAATAACAAGCATAAAAGCAGTTTATGGCTAGCGTACTTTTTCTTTTGTTTCATTTTACATAATCTAGCTCTTAGTAAGTGATGATACTGCTCTTCCTTTTTGATTTTTTATCATTCATTAAAAGACTTGACCAATTTACAGCATGTATATATTCTTTAGAAAACTGCGTAAGCGCAATTAAAAAAAAATCTTAAAATTAACAATCTAGCTGTTAGCTAGATATTTAGTAATAGTCTTTGAGTGTGTATTGCCCTTTACTGGTCTGATTTGTCTCTAGGATAGAACACTTAACAAAATAGCTGAAAAAATGCAGTATTGGCCTCAATGTTTTTTTCAACAGGCATAAAAAGATACTGCACAAGCAGAGATCAAGCCAGAACTCCCTGGACCTCCAAACGTACAACACTGAACCTGAATAAAAGTCCATTTACAACAATAGATATTTCCTTGCTTCAACCTCTTCAGAATTTAAGAAAATTTACTCTCTGACCTTTTTTTCTCCCCAAACCCCATAAATACCATTTCTCAATAAATGAATAATGCAGTTGTGGCTATCTTACCCAAAGATATAGTAAAACACAAAAAGGTAGCAGAGGGAACAGTAAGTATGTTAAGAGGTATAATTTTAAACAAGCATAAACTTGGAAGGGAAACTAATGACAGAATATAAAATTGACCCCTTACAAATTATGCATCATGTTTGAAAACTATACAAAGCCTGAACAGGGAGTATTTCCCATTAGCCACAGAAACAAGAATACGGAGGGAATGAAGGAAAGTATCACTCAAACACACTTAAAACAGAGGAAAAGGCATTGCACACGTTTAATAAACTGTGGTACTCATTGCCACAGGATGCTATATACAATAAAAGTACCTGCCGGTAATTTGTCCACTAGGGACCACATATTCTTTGCAGTTTGTTGCAACCACTAGAAGGTCTTGATGATTTCTCCCCAATCATATCTAGCGATCCCGGCACAGGGAGCAACACGTATGCAATAGTAAACAGAACTTTCCTGTACCCAAACAATTTCTTCGCTCTTATGAAAGATGTCTTTCCTAACACAGTTGTTAACAAGAAAGCTGAAAAATTCTGAAACTGCTATACTTATTATGCAGCTCTAGAGCTGTGAAAAAGGAAAAAAACAACAAAAAGGCATTGTTACAATCTAGTATATCCTTTATGTTAAAAGCAACAAAAAACCCCACACCCTCCGCTCCCAAACCATACGTTACCCAAGCCACTCGGGCATCAAAGAAAAAATTCATTCCCAGTTCACAAAATCCTGTTACCACGTTGCTGCCCTGGATACTGTTCACAACCCCAACCAGGCAAAAGAGAGAAGATGCTTGTCAGTGCACAAGAGGATCCCTAGGCAGAGAGGTTACATGACACCTCCTCGGAGGCGGTCGCAGTTCGCCTCCTGTTGCACAGGTCTCAGAGGTTGCCCTCCCCTCAGCTCCCTGCTCCCCAGCTCAAAATGCAGGGGAAGGGAAGGCAATCCTCAAGCACAAGGATCTCCTCTTCCCTATGGTCCCATACAAATCTTTGAAGTAAGTCTTAAGAAGCAGCACTAGTTTATGCTCAAGTTAAAAACTCTATAGTGATCTTAAAGTGAAAGTCCTCTTCACAAAGAGATGCAGATCTCTTTCACAGGGCACTACTGAAAACTCTTCTCCCTCAGTTCCTATGCATCCCTTGAAGCTCTCTGAACCCACTTGAGAAGCCAACTTTAATTTTCTCTACAAACCCCTCTGCTACTTCAGTTGCACAATGCCTGGCACAACCGCACGCTCCGAGCACGATACAGAATACGAATGTGCATACGTAATGACTGTTGCATGTTTTTATTAATCTATCATCATGCTTTGCTACATGATTTTTTTAGGAATTAGGTGAAATGCTCTAGCTGCTCTTTCAATTAATTCCTACCACTTAAAAAAGCGTGGAACGAGGGCACTAACGAAAGTTAATTAATATCTTTTTAGACGAAAAGCCTTAATGAGCTTCGACTGCACTTATTTTCAAAAAGCAAGCTGTTTAGCGTCCTGCGCAGGCCTCTTCAGCTATGAAGGGCCTTACGGGTGACCGTCTTCTCCGTCTCATACTTCTCAAACGCCGCTGGCAGCAGCTCAGAAACTTGCTCTTGGGGCACCTGCGCAGCCCCCACCTGCCAAACCACGCTACCCCACGGCTCCTGCCGGGACAGTTTCACCCCACTGCTGGTGCCAAGAGAAGAGCCTGGGGAGCACTGATGTAGGAAGTGGCTATCGTTTTCCCTTCGACATGCTCCTGTCGAAACCTTTCAGAATTTCAAGATGTGTGGAGGAATGTTACATTACTAGAAGCCTGTGAAAAATGTCAGTTGTCACTGTAATGACTCAGGATTTCAAGCAAGTACAATAAGATAAGTAGGAATGAAAGCATGACATTAAGGTGGGGAAAACTAATTAACTAACCTGCCCAACAGTTTAATTGGTAACTTTACTTCAGTTTTACTTTCAGAGGACTAATAAAATTTCACAGTCACATGTCTTTTCTAGTGAAAATTTACTCGTCATTAAGTTACATTTTGTTCTTACTAAATTAACATTATTTTCTTTGCATTAATGAAAGACATTAATCTATAATTTTAATACAATATACCAATAATGCTGCACTGAATGTCTTTGCTTTCAGAGTTATATTTCTATAGCAACCATTTC